CAAATACAATATAGTACAACAGATTTTCTTTTATTTAATCATGTACCGAGAGAATACGTGCTACCCACAATAAGACACTGAATGCTAGTCTAGTCACGGCTAAAGCTACAGATACCTGCAGGCCATCCTACCCCAATCAGGCAATTTTTTCCATTGGATTTTGGCCTTTGTAGCAAAAATCTAAAGTCGAAAATCAAATAAAAGAATTTGTCAGAAAAGGATAAGTTTACCCGCAGCCATGTGTACAAGGAACTAGTTCCTGAACCACGAGTGGACCAAATGGACAATGCTTCAGCAGGTGCATTTTATTTGGCGAAAATTGAATTTGAAATATAAGATAGTAGTTATTTCTTTTATGATTCTGCCTTACATTTTTCTATTTTGAAGTTTTTTATTTGTTATTCGTTAGTAAGCAAGCACATCATGAAATATGTTTCTGCTACGAGCTACTTCCGTATTTTTTCAACCACCTTTTACATGTTTTTAACCAATATCTCAGAATACAGAACACCACTATATCAGTCTTCCGTAAATAATTATCATAAATCCCTAATGTCATATAATTATGAGACCACCAGTCTATAACTGCTTACTGCTGTTCAAAAAAGTCCTTTCAAACGAACAAAGAGCATTAATCACCTCGTTTGCCTATATTAATATTAAAAATTATTATAACTAGAAATTATATGATCAACTCTCCTCACGACGTTTCCGTACACCGTATGACATTGGTGACTACATAAATTAAGAATGTACACATGTGCCAGTTTTGAAACCTTGGTGGTGCTATAAATGGTTCATTTACTTTACGACACGATTTGAAATTATTGCCATAAATCAAACACAATTCTATTCATGCTGATTTAAACTGATAATTCATTAATTCAATGTTTTGTTTGTCCGAAAAAAATATTCAAAGCCCCTTCCTCAGAAATTCTTGCGAGAACTCTGGTTGTTCGTTATAATTCGAGCCACAATAGAAGAAAAATAGGTGCGCTTGAGGTTTGATGAATTAATATAGAAAAAAATACATAAATATAAAAAAAACTATATCAATAATTTACATCCCAATAATTTTTGCTTACCGTAAAGAATGATTTGATTATATTTATATGATATTGTACTTTTCAATATTTTTTGGAAAATGTTTTTTCTTCCATATCTTTTCGACGCGACCGCAGTACAGTGTACTCGCAACACTCAAAGTCGCTAAATAAACAAATAAATACTTTGCTCAACCCAGAGATCGAACCATAGGTCACGTACTTGGCATTGCCACTAGCGGTTCTAGTTAAGTTTATGTAAATGTTTTCGAGTAACAAGCTACGCATATTAATGGCGTCAAACGTTGCCTTAGAGCTGTTACTTCTTTGAAGAGAACTATAACTATTAAGAATAACTATGTATTGTATTTGAAATGTAGCAAACATTTGTACAATTGAAGTTACGGCAGCTATTTGTAAATGAAACTATGACCTTGAATCAGAACTGCCTGTTTGATGGTTTTCGATAGCGTCACAATGCGGTTTTATATTCCAGAATGGCAAAAGTATCGCTGTCAACTTACAGCAGATGGATTACTTGGTGGAAAGCTATTAGCTCCGCCAATGGACACCCGCAACAATGCAAGAGTTACGAATGCGTTGGTAACCTTTTGGGGATAAGGGTTTTGGGAGTGGGTGAGGGAAAGGATTGAACCTCCGGTAACATCACTCACATGGTGAAACTACTTTATAGTTGTGTCACGCCGATTTTATGTGAGGCCCCGACCAATTCGGGCGGAAGCATAGCTCTCCAAAAATTAACGTTATCTATCAATGATAAAAGTTACATTTAAACAATATAATTATGTATAATATATACTGTGCTGGGAAACCAAGATTTAACAGTAAACTAGGTCTCTTGTGATTTGAATATTACATTACATTTAACTAAAACAAAACAATGACTTACAAATCACAAATCTCCCGACGTCAAATGCAAAACATCTACAAATCGACCCCCACAAATCCCTTTTTATGGTAACTTCACAAAATAAATTGGTGGATGCGCTATCCAGTGACCCGTGGAGATCTCGGTTCGAGGCTCACACCCATCAATCACTTACAGATAATGTTTAACATGCCACGATCTTGGTTAGCTTCATTTACGTCCTCCCAAACAACGACCAGTTGTCCATGCTTTTAAAAGGCTTTAATGTTTTTGTATTTGAGGAGGAGAGCATTGATACTACACACTATCTTCCGCTCGAGGCTTAGCCCGCGTGGTATGTTGAAAAAAGTAGCCTATGTCCTGTCCTATTCCCGGGAGCATCCTATGCCTTTGCCAAATTTCAAACAGATCCGTCCAGCCGTTTTGGCGTGATTGAGAAACAACATCCAAATATCGTAATTTTCGCATTATATTAGTAGATAAGATTTTGTAATGCCACCAAAACCTTAAAAGGACAGACAATAAAAAAAAGAACAATAACTATTTGTATTTGACAACTAGTCAAAGTCAATGCTTTTATTGAAATTTTAAAAACGTAACTGTTGAACTTGGTATGGAAACAAGACAGAAATGTGACGTCATCATATTTTTGCATCAAATAGCATACTTTTTATAAATTAAATAATATTAAATATAACCGAGAAAAATATTAAATTTTACATCGTCAATCCCATCTAAGAGTACGGTTATTTTTGAATATTTATTTGTATTGACATCTTGAAGAAATTTATTATTGACCGTGGAAAATACCCAATTGCACTGGAGATTGAAGTTGACCTTGACATTATATTGTCTTCAATTTTATTGTTGATAATCCTCCATAACATATTCTTAATCATTTATAGTCAAGCCATTTATTAGCTTTAATGTTTTGGATGCACTTCTATGCTTCTTCTGATCATAACTTTTAAAAGAAATTGTACCACGTATAGCAAAAAGTAATATGTTAGCTACTTTAAATTAATAATCTTTTGCTTTGCATTGAAACTAAAAGTAAGTCCATATCAGTCTCGAGATATTCACATTTTTTTTTCTCCTTATAACACCCAAATCAGTCCAGCTAAAATAAAAAATCATACAAATTACAAATTTAAATATTAGCAGCACTGACTTCCACCATGCCATTAAAACCTTTTTGTTCAAATGCGTCCATTAATCACATTGTAGCAACTGCTATTAATTTGAGTTATTATAAGACATCGCCTTAATAATACAATTAGAAACGCGGCCAGATTGTGGGGCGAAATGAAGGAATATAATCAGGCCAGCGTTTTGTGAAATTGATCTCAGTGGCCATTATTAAATCCTCCTTTTTTGGATACTCCTTTCATTAACACCTTATTATTTTATGAAAAGATACTGACTGGATTAGATTTTGTTTCGGTTTGTTTTTGTTTTATAAATCGTCCTTGTCTTCCTTTTTTTTCTTTTATTTTCACGCAAAAATGTATAAAAATGCTGTATGTAGTTTAATTATTGAATGAAAGGAATTTATTGTATAATTACTTTAAAATAATTCAGACTGCTTGTTTGGGGTGTTATGTCCTTAACAGTGATGAGTAGAGAATAAGAAGGTTGTGATTAAATAATTTCTGATAATAAGAATGTTAAGTAGATTTACAGGTTGGAATTTGGCAACCGGCTGCTATAAAGTTTTTACTTACTCATAAAAAATCTGCTAGATTATTAATAATTGGCTTTTTTCTTAATATAGAAACCAAAAATACCAATCTAAACTGAACTTTAAAGGTGGGGTAAAGTTACTGTTGTACTAAATGATATCTATCTTATTTTATATTTGTGACATAATATATATATTTTACCTATGACATTTGACGCTGCTATCTGCAGCAGCACTGGAGTTGCAAGTACATTTACGACCCTTTGGAGGTATAATATTTGGGGCGAGAGCATAAGGTTTGGACCTCCAATAACCTGAATCACTCGGCGAAACACAATGAAGAACAGGACTCCCAAAATAAAACTCCTTTGCCGTGCATTTTTTACCTAAATCCGGGAGAGCCCTGCTTTGGCGCAAGTGGTCCAGCTCGACCGAAGTTATGCTACTCGACTTCATAGACATTCGATGTACAACAACGCTTGGAATGTTACTGTGGTATATTACCTCTTTAATAATTAAGTTACTGGCCGGTAAGCCAGTAAGCTTATAATGAAAAATGTGTCAACATTATGTCAATAATAAAATAATCGAGATATGATGAACAACAATGTATTGTATTTCTTTACGTATATTTATTAGTTACCGATGTTTTTTTTTTCTATGTTAGGTCGGGAAACGAGCAGGCGTATTACTTAATGGTAAGCAATCAGCACCACCCGTGGACACTCGTAATCCCTCTTATGAATTATTAGGAATTTAATCAATGAAACAATGAATTTATTTTTGCAAATAGGCCATAAAACGGCACTTTTACACGTCAAATTATGTGTGACAACATGACTCGATGAAGCCGGCATTTCCTATCTGACTACTCTGAGAAGAAATGCCGAAACAAACTCAGAGGCCAGTCTCTTTCATCACTCACTTGACTGACTGACTTGATTTGATGAAAGACACAATAGAAAACGCATTCGACAACGAATTTTTGTGATGTAGTATCACTTAGGTCGAGCCAACCATCAGCTAACTCTCCATCACTGAAACTCTTATATCGTACATGCATTTAAAAACTCATGATGTCACCTAATTGCTGTCACACAAGTGGTCCGGCTCGACCAGAGTGATACTACATCACAAAAATTCGTCGTACAACAACGCTTCTGTTGTGTTTCACCAATGATTTATAAGTAGGTATATGATTTTCGTAGAAGACGCACTAAGGTACTTAAAATAAATATTATACATAAATTTATTAAATTTTATTCAAGTGACTATGTTGAGAAGTCATACATTTCATTATTAAATTAAGTCAATGTTATTTTAGCTAAATCTTCATAAAAAATATTTAATAACGAAACATGATATTATATTAGCAATATCAATTCGCATTCATATCAATACTAAACCGGTATTTAAGTTGAAGGATATTTTTTCAGCAAACTATACGGCTGGCCCGGTAACCAATGCTAATTATGTGAACATGATTTAAAAGCAATATGAAGGTATAACTTCTAAATTATATTGTGGCAATATGAACGCCGGCTTCACACGGTGGTGCCAACTCATATAACACAATAGCTTTGGCTCCAAAGTTGCAGCAAACGTTGGTAGTTGGACAGCGAGTGTCGGTTTTATCAAAGAAATATGTGCCAATATTCGCGACCCGTCTACATATTGGCGCCAAATTCCGTCCTGTTACAACACACTTCGAATGCGTAGGTCATGCACAGGTACGTTGAGATGTCATCAACAACAAATTCGCCACCCATTTAAACAACTATATCAGGCACATCGAATAATATGGAACCAATCTCGAAAGGATCATAAAAATTAATAAATCAATTTCGATTTTAGTATCGGACATCTTCACATTGGCTCTGACGGAAATGTTAGGGCCAACGTGTGGAGCCGGCGTTATAATAAGGTCGCACTATTCCGATCTTAATTCTAAACGTATTTGTGAATTATCAGCTGGTTTTATAAGAATATCGTATTGAGTTGTAATGCTGTTTATATCACTGATGATCAGGAACTTGCGGAGTATGTGCGCTAACATCGTTTTCATCACCAACATGGCGTATAGACGACCTGTAAAAAACCTTTAATTAATTCCTCTAATTTGTCATTCAAATTATATTAGGTATAAAAAACTTGTACTGATTTAAGTAACATACGTATAAAAAAGAAATACTGATAGTGCAAGATTGGGTAGGAAATATATATAAAAGGTCACAATGTTACATGTTTATAAAGAGTTTCAAGGCAATTAAAGTATCATTGTATGTCAAGATATCAAAGCAATCAGTCTCATCCATGGATCTCACGTTTTATCAGCGAATTCGTTATTTAAGACTGTGTACATACTACTATGTACCTTATACGGGTTTCCATACAAAGAAATTTTGTTGAAACTAGGTACTTATACGCAATGTATATATATAAAAACTTCATGCAGTTCATTTTCTAAATAATCTTCAATCGAGTAATTATTCGTATATTTATGTTTGTGTGAAAACTTAAAATTGCTTGTTTCTATCTCTCTCTAAGATCTTTTTTTATATTTTGTTTGAATACAAAGTTTCATTAAATTCAATTCTGTGGTTTCCGTCATTTTAGACTCAAAAGGTCATTGGAAAAACCGGGCCGCGGTTTTTATATTTTTTGTAATAACAGTGAACGAAGCCTTACCTAAGCAGTTACGTTTGCCTAAACTGAAACTACAAAATACATTTGGATTGTCTGGCAAGGTTGATGGGTCCAGCCATCGCTCTGGTTTGAACTCATCCACATCAGCACCCCACATTGCATGGTGATTCATTCCATAAATTGATATCATACAAGATGAACCAGCTGGTAGCGTGTAGTTCTCTATAACAAAAAAAGGGAAATTAAGATTCAAAATTTACATTTTGTTAATAATGTTCGTCATTTTTAAGTGTAGGAAACCCATGCTTCAACCCGAGTGGGTCATTTTGGGGTGATATCACGGCCTTAAACAAAACAGAAACAGCAACCACAGCGCTGTTTTTCGCATTGCGAATAATCCGTCTTCCCCAATTCTTAAAACCCTCAATACTGACTTATTAATTGCATTCCACAATGTGTTTCTTAAGTGATCGATTATAAATTACGACATCATCATGAACCCTTTCGGGCACAGCAAAGTAAAAGTAGGAGAGAAGGAAAAGAGCTTCATTAAGTTTTATATAATAACAATAACTCGAAAACCCCTTATCCTCAAAAGGCGGCTACTACGCTGGTTGCCAGCGTCCATAACCGTCTTACCACCAGGTAATGCATTTTGCTCTTGTCGTACCACATAAAAAGAATTAAAAGAGTTTTAAACTTCTTCACTAAAAGCATACATACTTAGTTGCACATCCGTCTCTATACTTCTTGCTACGCATGGAACAGACGGGTACATTCTCATACTTTCTTTTAAAACTGCTTCTATATACACTAACTTCTGCAAATCATCTTTGGATATATCTTTATCTTCATCACCTAGTACTGTTTTAATCCTGTAAGCAATATAATTATCAAATAAATAATAGGAATCACATCTATTATTGTCTACATCAACAGCAAGGACGTTTACCAAAACTGTGTATAGTTGAATGCACTTAATATGTAAATCTATTCAATCTTTAATTTATTAATGTCGTAGTGGCTCGAAGGTTAATACCCCCGCTTCTCTAACATGAGGATCTGGTTTTAAACCTGGCAAGTGCCAATGGACTATATGCGTTTTCAAGTTAAATGTACTTTGTGTGATTATTTTGGGTCACTAACATACGATGAAGGAAAATATCACGAGGAAACTTGGATCTCGCCAATCCACTAGACTTCGACACCGTTTCTCATCAGGGCTAACTCGTTCAGACACGATGGTAAATTTTATACCCAATAAGTAGGTGCGGAACTTATTTAATGAGTTAATGACTGCTAGCGTCTCCAGTTCGAAGGAGTTAGCAAGCCTTGTTGCCAAAGGTTTTACCGTTTTCGTGTGAAAATAGGCGATTGCTCAGCAGTGAGTATTTATAGGTTGAAGATATGATGTGTGATTCAGTCTCAATTTTTATTACTTACTCTTTATAAGCACGGTCTTGTATTTCTGGATAGGTTCCTAATAATATCAAAGCGTAAGTAATTGCTGTGGCTGTAGTGTCATAAGCTGCTGCTACAACTGTGTCCAAATGCTCTCTAATTTCGGCATCCGATAGAGCGTCTTGTGTATCAGATAGTTCTAGGAGTTGATCTAACAGTGGTTTAAATTTAACATCTGTAAAGAAATTGTAATTGAATACTTTACTTAGTCAATATTTTAATTCCGTGCGTTTTAACGCACTTAACTATGAAAACATACCACATCTTTATAGTGTATAATTAGTATTTTTTGGCAAATTTCTATAAATGTCTGATATGAATAAATACTATGTCAGTTTTGTCAATTTAAAAATGGTAGGTATTTATTGTATTTGAGTTTCTGTCGTGTATCCCGTTTGTTTGCTTATAAAATATGATGAATGCGTGGATGTTCTTGTGATTGCTTAAACAAAAGAATTTATAAGGAAATAATTGAGCTTTCACAACAAACCTCTAGTTGGCGTTTTGTTTTTGACCACACTGCCTTTTAATTCAACTTTTCGTTTATCAATCACCTGAAAAAGCAATAGAAATTAGTTAATTACTAATCATCTAATTAACTTATTACTAATCATCTACAAACAGTGACACTTCAAACATCTTTTAAAAATAACGACACTCTATTCTATTGGCGAAACGCATGCTGTTAAAGAATAGAAATCTCGTTATAACTTGAAACTAGTCAAACATTTCTCAGTTGGTTTAGGTAACTATTTTTTTTTTGTGTAAGGTGCAACAAAGAATATAAATCAGTTTTGTACCCTGAACATGGCTTCATTCGTGATCTTCAACAATTGATCCTGTTTGGCCTTTATGGAACTCCAAGCAAATATAAAAGGTAAATGCAAATATATTTTCTTCAATCTCTCGATGAATAACATGAAAAGATCTTCCGTAGCGTTTGCATAGTCTTCATCGATTGATTTGTCTTTTGTTTCTAAGCCCAATGAAGTTTCTGAAATAAAGTCAAATATTTATGTATATACAGTTACGTATAAATTAAACCGAATATGATATGCCACTGTAGGACTATCATATGGATTTTTTAATACTTTTAAGACCGGCTTGTCGTTACTTGTACAGCTCACTTTTTTCGTTCACGTATTTTTTTATCTTCTTCTTTTTTATCGTGTCCATATCCAAAATTACTAGTACTAAATTTATTAATCATTTTTTGATTTGATTTTTTGCTGCTACAACTGGTATTCAATAGTGTAATCTACATATAAATGGTCTTCAAAATCTAGCTTTGATTTTAAAAAAATACTGATATACTTACGACAAACAGTTTTTAACAATTGGTTGACCAAGTATTGTCTTACATTGAACGGCTCTTTTCCAACTTCAGCTTTCAGAGCTGCGACCAGATTTCGGGATTGAGTATTATATTCAGTTACAAATGTGGCCAAGACCTGCATATTAAAAGCTGGGTACAATAGTTTTCTGTGTGGTTTCCATGTTGTTACTGGAATTAAAAATATTTTTATTGTCTTCATTATTTAATCTTACAACATTTTTAACATGTTTCATTTTCATGGTGTAACAATTTTTTGAACTTTTTGGTTGAACTATCACTATCCTTATCATCATGATATATGAGGACCACAGGACGTCCATAGCTGATCACATGCTTTCTTTAATGCTTATCAGGTAAGCATGTAGAAGTACACGGCATTAGCTGCGATCTTAATTAAGTTCTCTGTCCACTTCATTGGTGGTTGCTTCAATGTATATGTATATTACTTATATTAGATCTTCCAAAATTACGTCAAATAAGATATTTAGTTCTCTTGAATTAGGATTCAAATAATTTCTTTAACTTACAACTAGCTGTGACGAGTCCTCTGTTGAACATTTCCTTGGCAAAATCATAGTAATATGGCTTGTTCAGGCATGTGTTAGCTATGACTAGACTGTCATCTGGATCAGTTAACACTGCAAAGAAAAATATACTATATTAGGCTTTTGAGATACGCATTTTGACATAATTATTCGAAGATATACGCTCCAAACATAAACTAAGACAAAGTCGCGGATAGAAGCAGGCAAAATATAAAGTAACATTTATTCTGTCCATTTTTTTTTGAAATCGGGAAAGAGAGCAAACGAGTAGGTACAGGGACCAACTGGTGTTAAGCAGTGCCGGTCATGGAAAACATAAATGGTAAGCGTTGGAATTCAATTTGCTTGATGGTTAACAGTTTTGACCTATGATACGACACCATCTATGCCCCACAACACGTGATAATCACGAGGACATCACTATGTCTGTGACCTTAAATGACATAATGATGGCGTATCAAGGTCAGTCAAGGTTGTTCTGTTAATGTGTCATCAATATTGACCTTCGATTCAAAAATCTTTGAATTAGCATAGTATATATATTATAGGCACAAAATAAAAACACAAACCTGCGTTTTGTGTTGGCTAATCTGAGACGCAAGTTTGATTTAGCTAAGTAACGTCTTTTTGGGAGAAAAGAAGTCAAATGTATGATGGATGTGGTAAGTATAAGCGCCACGTAGCCACGTATAGCCACCCATAACACCTGAAGAGTTACCTATAGCTAAGTTACCAGCCTTTAAGAAAGTTTGGGATTTTGAGGTTTGGGTATGGATTGAATCTCCCATAACCACGAGTAAATGAAATTCTGAAACACAACTGAGGCATTCTGAACCTTGCAAGCCAGTTATGCTTACAAAAAAAGCTCAGCACATGTGCCCTCAATGCCTAGCCGGCGCGGCGTCATCGTGGATCGAGCGATATTCTCCAGTCATCGTAAGTAAGGGACGGCGAGCAACGGTTAGCTCGTCGCCCGACCGATCTGAGACTAAAGAGCGTCATTTTCCGACGACGACTCAAAGGAACATGGGACCACCATAGATGGACTAGGGGCGATACTTTGGGGGATATAAGTGCAATATAATATACCGCGACCCAGGCCCTGAGCAGGAAAAATAACCGCGTGGTTTACTAGTACTCAGTACAAGTAAGTGTTAGACTACTAGTACTAGTAGTACCAGTCCAACACTCGCTCTCGCTCTAATAAGGTGATTTGATAGTTTACGACTTAAAGAAAGTCATTGTATCACGCCTATTTTTTGTGAGGCTGTGGTATGACTCCACTCTCAAAATGATTTGCATACTTAATAATTTGAAGCAACTGAAGCAACTTGCAAAGTATACAAGTAGATGGCGCTTTAATAATATACATATGTAGAAAAAGTAAAGGAGAAGAATTGACGTGCTTGCGTCACATATTAATTGTTTTATTCCATATATTGCGTTAAATTACTGTTATTAATTATGTCCAAGATATGGTGACAATACTTAAAATGAAGTATTACTGTATCTGTATTATTATAAAAATTTTTGGACAATTTTTTTGTTTCGTAAAGTTTTTGGTAACTTCTTAATACTTATAAATACCTATACTATAAGTCGTGACGACAGACGATATTTCAAATCAATATAATTATCGAAAGAATATGATTCTGTTAGAAAATAAAAACAATGTAACATAAATATTTTAAAATTACAAAATGTAAAAGGACACTCTAATGAAAAAAAAAATGTGTCCATCTCTAATAACACAATTCATGTAGCAATTAATTATTTATGAAATAATGTAGTGAGCGGTCATCGTGTGAAGGTCAACTGTTATAATAATCTTAAGAAAAATGATTATGGATTTAAGAACTGTCTTGTTAGCAAGAGGTCGGGTCGCAATTTGCAAACCTAACAATTATTTCAGTGTTATCATAAAAATCTTATGTGATATCTGCAAAAAGGGATCTTCTAAGTGTAACATAACTATAATGGTGAATCAAAACCGAGATACTTCTGGTCACGGTGGCAGAAGTGACATTATTTATTAATGAAAAAAAATGCTAATCATCATCATTATCATCCTATAAACGCTCACTGCTTAGCAAATGCCCCTTCTCCCCAGCAGAAGTTTTGAGCACTAATTAGCACGTTTGCTTAAAGCTGACGGTTATTTCAATCTTATTGGAAATTATTATTTCAGTTTTCTTCACGATGCGCGATATTTAGACTTCACTGTTTATCCGTGGTATCTGAATAAAAGAATAATTTAAACCACACCCTCATGCATGATAAGCGAGCGCCTTAACATTTGATTTTGTGCCACCACACTCAAGTGACTGATTTGCTAGCTAGGTCCCAAGGCTGGGAAGAAAAAAATGAGCTGGACATGAAACATTTATTTGTAAATGTTTTTCCACACTAGGACTTTCTCCTGTAACGTGTGTGCGATTACAAACATAACTTGGAAGCATGAGAGATCAGTGTACAAAATTCCACATTCTCAATTGAAAAGGATGACCCTCCGACCAGACCGGTGTTGTGTCTCGGTGGGCTGTTGTCGGGATGTTGTAACAATGAAACCTTTTCTAATTGCGTCGAGAACTGTTATACGATTTAGATACTTGAATGTGATTCGTGCTGTTGCTGCATGTTGTGCGGTAGATGTCGCTTTAATAAAATTCCACATACACATTACACCCAGACTCGAAAAAACAATTAAAAAGTAAAAAAAGTGCTGTTACGTTCGGAAGTCGAATCCACTACACGTTTCCTAACCGTTGTGACGTGCAGTCGTGCGTTATAGATATAAAACTTTACTAAATAAGAAGAAGAAGGAAACACTTACCGTAGACAGAATGAGGACCAAGTCTTATCTCGGAGACACCACCACTGTCCAAACTGAACTGATACATTTTTTTCTTGGTCACCCAAAACTCTGCAATATTAAAATTATTGTAAAGTATAATGGAGGAAAGACCTAATACATATTATATTTGGTACATATTATTATGTATAAATTGTGGTCGAAAATAACACGTATAGACTAATTAACAATATGGTATTTAAGGACCCGTCAGGGAGTCAGTTAAAAACAGCAGACTTTAAAAACTGACTTAACTAGTCCTTAATACTTTTTTAAAACCAATGTTGAAAAAAATATTATTCAGATCTTTTTCTTTAGAAGACGTTCATAGAAATTGAAAAGCATTCAACATCAATTGTACCTATGGTACATATAGATTTCTTCATTAGAAGTTTTGCAACGAAGGTAACGATACTTTTTACAGCTCTCATATCGCATGGATTCTTATCGAACATTTCAGAAAACCCTCATAAGTCAGATTTAAAACGTTCAAGTTTATCACAGAGACTGTACAGTATCTATCAAGTATGTTGGAATAATCAGCTGTTACGATACAGGCAGAAAGAACAAAGATAGTAAAGGGTAGCTTCATTGCTGATGATATGATGATGCATATGACTGCACGATTGGCGCGGTGGCTGGGCAACTGGCTGCCGTGCGACGTGTCGCGGGTTCGATTCCCGCACGGAACAGCACTTTGTGTGATCCACAAATTGTTGTTTCGGGTCTGGGTGTCATGTATATGTGAAATTGTATGTTTGTAAACGCACCCACGACACAGGAGAAAATCCAAGTGTGGGGCAACGTTTTTTAAAAAAAAAAAAAAAAAATGCCTCCACAAAACATTTCGTGCACACACAACAAATCCGCGTATTCACCCTAAAGAGTAAGCCGTAAAACGACTCAATAGTAAGAAATTCCACTTACTTTTAGGGTCTCCATACAATTGATGAGCGTGTCCCAATATCGGTAATGCTCCAGGATGAACTGGAGGCGACGGGCCACGTGGTTTTAACTTGCTCCATAACACCAGCAACCCACAGAACGACACAATGAGCACTGCAAAAATCATGACTGCTAAACAATAAGTGCTCAGAAAACGTAACTGCACTACTATATTTATACGCACAATAGTTACTTATATTATTGTTATAGAAGAAATTATGGCTTGCATGTTTGTTCAAAGAAGAGAATATTAAAATATGCTGACAAAGAAAATGATTGAGTTAAAAAAACTGTTAAAAATCTTATATCAACTGAGTTTTCTTCAATGCCCAGTCTCCCTCTCTATCCTCAATCCTCAAAGGTTAGGGGATCTTATAATAATATCCCTAATAACTCATAAGGGGCCGGCAACGCACTTGAAGTAACTTTTTTGGTATTACAAGTGTCTATTGGCTACACTAATGGCTTACCACCCGGTATTCCATCTGAACATTTGCCGACATAATTATGACATAACAAAAATAATGAAAACATATGTCAATTCTCGATTTGTGTTGCAAAAGTAATTGATCTATTTTTTGTTAGAAAGTGGTTTGTAGTATGAAAAAGAATTAAACTCATCAAACAGGAATATTGGAAAACATGAGACAAAGCTGGGACCAGTCGTTAGTATGTGAATAAATTACGTGAAATGTGAACAGTATTTAACATCCTGTAAAAGTTCAAGATCGAGTCAGTCTAATTAAATAAAATTATTTTATTAACTGTCCCTGCACGTGATGGTTGGAAATAATATAATCAACAATATGAAAAATATTGCTCGTAATACTGTTTGTTTTTAAGCTACTTTTTACAGAGGAGGTGTTTTAGTATTTTTAAAATAGGCATAATAATTAGTAACATAGCTGGAATTTGTAATTAAAGTGCGGTCATTGTCTAAGACAATATAATCTATGAAAAATGGCTTTTGGCTTTAAATTGGTTCAGTATTTTTGTAATATAGGAATTTAAAGTTTAGAAAATCGCAGTCTATGACAGTAATTGCTTTCCACCTTTATTCAAGTACATATAAAAAACAATCTCAATTTCCCTGGCCATGGCATCAAGCAAGAACGGTTAGACCGACTCCGAATAACTCTTATACACTATGCTATGTTGCCTAAGGTTAGGTGAAATAGAGAAGAAATAAGAGATGCGGACATTTGCTAAGAAGACAAACGACACCAAAGTAGGTAGGTAGGTATGTGAAGCATCCCGCTATTGACTTAAAAATAACCTGAACAGTGTGAACAAGTAAAAACATCACTAACTGATTTGATGGAAATCAGACGTGATGATTAGACCCCAGATCAAGTTAGAAGACTGTAAATAGGCAAATAATGTTAAAAGGCACTTTCAAAAGAATAAAAAACTCGTCAGAGGAGATACTACTGAACATATTAGATACAATAAGATATCCACTGGGAACAAACAATGACTTTTAAGATTAACTGATGGTCGGAAGCAATCTTACAGAGAATCACTAAAGAGTGATCCTAGCCGCCTTGTCTTAGAAAACAAGCACTTGTATTTCTCTACAGGGAAAATGAAAAAGAAAAAAAAACATACAACGAATAAAACACCTAATCACGCCTAGTTTAAGTTTCTAGTGGACTGTTTGCAATAAAACAGTAATTGGGTTCAGAACTAAATGGTTGACCTTTGCTCGCCTTCTACAAAAAGGTGTATTATATTGCTGCATATCGTTAGATCTCTCAATTAACAATAAAATAATCAGTCAGGGGTTAATGGGCGCCTGCAACACCTACAATTGTACATTTCTTAGGTGCAATGTATACAGTTTCGGTTCCGGTACGAGGAAACGCCCTGGTGTCGTCGTGACGTGTCGTGTGTCGTGTGAGGACCAACTACAGGACACGGTGCAGCACGGTGACGGTGTGCTCTGCTTATCAGAACCAGACGCGTAGCGTTTCGCCCGCGCCTCAACGAGCCTACAGACCACCCAACAGGGCCGATGTTCAGCCGGGGTTTCGTGGCAAGCGCAATACGCTACCGTGGCCTTGGCCTGAAGAAGAAACAGGGGGTTTTAGTCAATAACTATCTGCATCTCAAGGTGCCAGACACCTACTGTTTCGCCTAGTTGAGAGAAAAAACTCCTCAAAAAAGGCACATTATTTAATTGTCTACTCTCGGCATCTACCTGACGAGAGACGAGATGAGATGACATTTTTTTTATAAATATATTAGAACAATTAAATTAGTAAACGGTTTAAAAAAAATGTTAGACTAGTTTTCGTCATCTGTGTTGATACATGTAACGCCATCTATCCAGTTTGACTAGAACTACGTGCTTTGAGATACACTTTGAACTCTACTCAGTCTCGTGTCCGTCAAAACTGGATTTGACGACGTTTGCGTTCAAGAGTAATTGAGTAATAAATATGAATTAATACTTATAAATCATCGTCTTGATTAAAAACGTAAATAGTTTTTTGGTTGACTTTTATTGACTTAGTGATTTGTAAACATAAACAATGTTTGCGATGAACTTTGGTTTAATAAGCGGCGTTGGTTTTAGTTCAAAACTTGAATCTCCAAACGAGATCTTATTTTTTCGAGATTACTTGTAGTAACTAAAAAAAAACGCTTTTCAACCACAAGGCTGCGCTACTACCATAGATAATAATGGTTATGTTTTACAGATTTAAAAAAATCCTTGGGTTATCGTTTGGATTTTGCCAACTTTATCAAGGATAATTAAACCGACTGTAGTGTTATTGAATATCTAGTTTATTATTGGTGTAAAATTCCGTAGTTCATTTGTTATTCCGTTGTTTGTTTACGAATAAACAGGAAACATCAAGCAATGTTGTAACATGTAACATCTTGCATTCATTTAATAGGTAACTAATTAATGTGAATGTCGCAAGATAAAATACATTATTTTCGTTAATTTTGTTGTTTTTTGCCAAGTATTCGTATCCCATTATAAGGGGTCTGATTCCATAGACTCATTGTCTCATTGGCATCGCTCAAAGTATCTATATAAAAGATGTAGCATACGCAGTTATGTTTCGACGAGTAGGAATAAGGTAGAGGTCTTCGTTCGATAGTAAAGACGTCTTCTTGTTAAAAGTCTTTAATAATAAAATATAGTTATTCCAAAACTATAAATCTAAAATTTACAAAATGTTTGATTTATTTATGACATGTAACTTTGTTGAACAGCAAAAGAGCATACGGATTAACAGGGATAACTGCAACACCAGAGGAGTAACGATTGTGTTGTGGGCCATTTGGATATTAGAGTTTCGGGGATTAGGGGCTTGGGGAAGGGGGAGAAGGGTTGAGTGCATTACTATGGCATTATCACGTGCCTTGTTGACCAGAAACTGAATAAGTTCCTGATATCTTCAATTTAATGTTTATAAATGAAGTGGTCAAAAACCTTGAACCAACGAACTTGTTTAGTGATTAATCGTCCATAAAAATACTCTCACCGGTACATACAAGTATTTTAATCGTGAATTATTTCATCATACCGGCAGGTATGGCTAACTGGTACCATTGATTGAGCTCATGGTTACTTCCAAGGACAGTTTTTGTACCCCGGATACTAATAATTTGCGCAACAAAACTGGTAAAACGGCCCTCTGAGACCCCACATTCTAAATGTAATAAGCTACCTTACACATTATCTTTACAATTAAAAGCAGGTGGAAATGTTTGTTTGTTAGTCAATAATGAAAAGACTCAATGGCTGTTTCCTCCATAGTAAAACATTTTATTAATTACAGCCAGCAGCTTATATAAAGTGCGTACTGGATATTTCGTCATTTAAAGCTTCTTTGATCTATTTGTAAATATTACAATTTAGACCACTAATGGTAAAAATACAACGCAGTAGAAGTAATGTCAGCATGGATAATTTATGGACACATGGCAAAGTTGCCATTCCTTACATATCCTCGTTTTTATCCCCCCAAAAACCCGTCATTTCACTTTTAATTCTTCTGGATTTGTACTGTTTTGGAAGGTACCTATTGCTGATGATCATCAGGCAAACTGTCTACTCGTTTGCCAATAATGGGTTCTTTATTAAAAAAACATTTTATAGCCATTGATTTATATCTGGAACCTACTCTAGATTTTCTTGTCTGGCAAATTTTTGTTTCTCATATAGGTACGTCAACTCTTATACCAGTCTTATACCCCAATAGCATGCGAGAAAAGTTGTGGAGAACAACTAGTCAATATAAACCGATTATCCATCCATGGTTAAAACGAGTTTTAATCGAAGAAAAAAATATCTTTTTTATCAGTTAAAATTATTGCCTACATAGTTTAAAATGTTGTGTTTAGCGTTTGGATATGACAAGGATATGGAAAAAAAAACTTAGCACGTGTCTTAAATTTTTTATATCACCATTTGCTTTATTGTTTTTCTTACTGAAATGTCTCCATCAAAGAGCATTCATTTACCGTTGCATGTAACCATAAGAGGTAACATATATAGTTATATTTTGGACTATAAGACTTACTGTAATCCTTTGGTCATTTTTATATGCTTGAGCCAAGAAAAACATATTACTAGCCATCACCTTAGCCGAACGAGCAGACGGATTACTTGATGCTAATAAAACGGCGCCGTTCATGGACATGCGTAAAATCAGAAGAGATACGAGTACGTTGCCAGCCTCTTCAAATTAGGATTCGGGAGATTTGGGGATTGGGTAGAGATGGGGAGCGAAGAAGGATTGGGCCTCCGGTATCCTCACTCACTCGGCGAAACACAAACCTGTGGTTGCTTCACGCCGGTTTTCTGTGATGCCATTTTATCACTCGAGCCGACCTAATCGTGTAGAACTTTGACTCTTCCAGACTTGTTTCACTTGAGTAATTATTAATGATATATAAGGATATTTTATTGAGAATTTTCGAAATAAACCACAATTTGTTTCTCAGAAAAGACAAAGATTTGTTTTATTTGACACGCCTTTACAATGTTGTAATAATTATCGTTTAACTATGACAATTTAACACTTATCTAATAAGATGTTATTATTTCATTAAGGTCTGATTTTTCAATAGTCATATAAATGTTATCTAAGGAATAAAATTGTTGGTGTCACTGTCTTACACGAACATTCTAACACAACAGCATCATAATTATTCC